AGCGCCCCCACAGGCGAGCGGGGGAACAGGTTGGTTCAACAGGTTGGCTTGACTGCACAGTGCAGTGTGAATGCAAACGCACCAGCTCAAATGTAAACAAAATGTCATGAATATTGGTCCCCAACCGAACCGAGTCTACCAGACTATCAGGTGTGAAAACAACCTTAAACTCAGGTCCAGCGTGGCTGCGAGAGGGTCTGGAGATTTCCTGGTAGGCTGGTCTGATGTGTGGGCTACAGGGCCAGCCCTCCCTGTTTTTTTTTTTTTTTTAGAACTTTTTATTAACAACATATAAACACAAAACGCGGCTGAGGCTGCCAACGCCCAATTTGTTTCTTTTTTTTCGACCTGTCAATCAATCCAGTAGGCGTGTCAGCAAATGACCAATCAGCGAACTCAATTTGTCCCAAAGGTAAATGCCCCTTGTCTGTGAAGCTGCTCTGTAGCCGCTCAGGGTGTATGCTCGATTATCGAGTCTGAACCCTCTGCGTATAGTACACGCGTACGTACACGTGAGTATACTGGGGGCTTAAATGGTAAATGGACTGTACAAACCGGTTTCCAAAAAAGTTGGGACACTAAACAAATTGTGACTAAAAACTGAATGCAATGATGTGGAGGTGGCAACATCTAATATTTTTTTTCAGAATAGAACACAAATCACAGATCAAAAGTTTAAACTGAGAGAATGTATAATTTTAAGGGAAAAATCTGTTGTTTCCAAATTTCATGGCGTCAACAAATCCCAAAAAAGTTGGGACAAGTCCATTTTTACCAATGTGTGGCATCCCCCCTTCTTCTTACAACACTCAACAGACGTCTGGGGACAGAGGAGACCAGTTTCTCAAGTTTAGAAATAGGAATGCTCTCCCATTCATGTCTAATACAGGCCTCTGTTCAATCGTCTTGGGCCTTCTTTGTCGCACCTTCCTCTTTATGATGCGCCAAATGTTCTCTATAGGTGAAAGATCTGAACTGCAGGCTGGCCATTTCAGTACCCGGATCCTTCTCCTACGTAGCCATGATATTGTGATTGCTGCAGAATGTGGTGTGGCATTATCGTGTTGAAAAATGCAGGGTCTTCCCTGAAAGAGATGACGTCTAGATGGGAGCATATGTTGTTCTAGAGCCTGAACATAGTTCTCTGCATTAATGGTGCCTTTCCAGACATGCAAGCTGCCCATGCCACAAGCGCTCATGCAACCCCATACCATCAGTGATGCAGGCTTCTGAACGGAGCATTGATAATAACTTGGGCTATCCTTGTCCTCTCTGGTCCGGATGACATGGCGTCCCAGTGTTCCATAAAGAACTTCAAATCGTGACTCATCTGACCACAGAACAGCCTTCCATTTTGCCACACTCCATTTTAAATGACCCCTGGCCCAGTGCAAATGTCTGAGCTTGTGGAGCTTGCTTAGAAATGGCTTCCTCTTTGCACTGTAGAGTTTCAGCTGGCAACGACGGATGGCACGGTGGGTTGTGTTCACTGACGATGCTTTCTGGAAGTATTCTTGAGCCCATTCTGTTATTTCCTTGACAGTGGCATTCCTGTTTGAGGTGCAGTGACATTTAAGGGCCTGGAGAGCATGAGCATCCAGTAGAGTTTTACGGCCTTGACCCTTACGCACAGCGATTGTTCCAGGTTCTCTGAATTTTTTGATGATGTTATGCACGGTTGATGATGATAACTTAAAAGTCTTTGCTATTTTACGCTGGGTAACACCATTCTGGTATTGGTGCACTATCTTTCTGCGCAACAATGGTGGAATTGGTGATCCTCTTACCATCTTGGCTTCTGAGAGACACTGACACTCTGAGAAGCTCTTTTTATACCCAATCATGTTGTCAATTGACCTAATTAGTGTTAATTGGTCTTCCAGCTGTTTGTTATATGCTCAATTTCCTTTTTCCAGCCACTTATTGCTACTTGTCCCAACTTTTTGGGATTTGTTGACACTGTGTAATTTTGAATCACCATATTTTTCCTTTAAAATGAAATGGACTGTAATGAAAATGAAACTCCGTGAAGTTTCCAGACAGGTCTCCCGAGGGAGAATAGACCCGGAAGTACTGATCCACTGCGGCGAGTCAGAGTGGACGTTGTCTGACGTCATGTGAAAAGGGCCTATTTAAAACTCTGGCATGAAAGCTGACATTCTTTTTTCTTTAAGTTGCTGTGTGGACATCATTTACAAAAGTGTACTTTTAAACAAATTCTTGGTTTTCTTTCTCACTTGGATTACAGGGATGGTGTGCAGCTGCTCCCAGAGCAGACGGGCTTACCACTGAACTGCTTCATCAGTGCAGAGGTGGTTCATTGGCTGGTCATCAATGTAGATGGCGTGGCTACACAAGGAATTGCTGTGGATATCATGCAGGTAGAAGCTGTGTTTACGTATGCTTGATTTGATAAGTACGAGGAAAGCTCTCATGCATGTTTCATGAAGTGTCACTACAGTCTAGCTGCTGGCATTTGATTTTCATATGAACTTTTGGCTGCAGATGCTTGTGAATGCAAAATCAGAAACAACAAAACAAATTTCATGTTCTTCAAAAATTAAGATTAAATGATTGATGAATGATTTTGCTGATCTCTGAAACTAAGTTGTTAAAGTTAAGACAAAAACAGAAGCTAAAACAAGCAGCAAGAAAGCTTATAGAAGCAGAATGGCAGCTAAAATGACCAGACTAAGAGCAAAACTGAGCATAACAGCAGCTTAAACCAGTTCAACTCAAGTCAAAACAGTGGGGTGGCTGTGGATCATTGGTTAGAGCGGTTGTCCTTCAACGTGAGTCAGAGTTCCTGTTCCATCAGTATACAATCACGTCTGTTGTCAAGTGATGTGCATTTCAGGTGAGGTATGAAGTCAGTTCTCATGACCTAAAAGAAGGTTAAGAGCAGTACAAACCACAAATCCCTGAGTATGTGTTATAGAAAAGCAAGAAAGGTTTATTTACTAAAACAAATCTATATAATAGTATGTAACAGTGTGTGAAGTCTTTCTAATGTATTATGTTTTAAGAGTGTGAAATCCTATGAATTAAGACTTAATCAATCAATGTTGAAGACATTATAGATCTTAAATTAAGAGATTATAGGGAAAGCTTATATGGAAAGTGAATTAACTTTAAATAATTAAGAGTAAATGAATTAATGTTACTGACTAAAAAGTGAAGAGAATCAATGGTCAAAAGGTCAAGTTCACAGCTTAGTGTTCGTGTGTCAAGTCACCACAAGAAGTGGAAGTCTGAACAGACAGTCAGGCCACTAAGAGGAAAAAGAGGAAGTTATCTGTAGAAAACAGGAACAAGTTACCTTACGTGAAGAGGCTCTCAGAAAAAGAGGAAGCTCTCTGCAGAAAAACAGGAAGACAGACCTAGTGGCAGTCAAAGATAATTTTAACTATGACAGTGACGATGAACATGTGATCTGACGTTGTAGAATAGTCCGTATCCAGGACTGTTGCTATGCAGAAATTACACAGTGAGCAGACATATGTATAAAAAGGCTCAGCATTAATGATTGGTGCTGAAGCACTTAGAGAGTTTTAAAGGACAGTTCACTGACACATTCAGTAACTAAAGGGAACTTGAAGATCCGAAGAGGAAAATAATTTTTCTCAGCTCAGCCCGGACCCGAAAGCCAACTCAAGTTTCCAAGATTGGATTTTATTGAATGCTGTATGAAATATTCTCCAAAAGTAACTGAGGGATGATTGTCATCAGCTTCATCAGTCAAGGATCCCCTTTGACAAGGGGTCTTAGAGAAGAGATGGTATGTCACATACTAATAGCTGTCCTAAAATAAAATAATCCAAATCGCTTACAGGTATATACACCAGTAAAACATTAGGACTCTTGACAACATTTTGAGATATGGGGATTTACATGTTATATTAAATTTGGTGTTTTTAAAGTCTTAATAAATACATTTTAGGAGAGTTTCTTCATATTTGCTGCATTATGGGATTCTGAAGTTGCCTTTGTATTTTTTTTTTTCTTCTCCCTTTTGTTCGATGGAGTTTTTGAACACGCTTTAGATTTAGACTTTTTTGATTTTTCCAACTAAACTTAATTTGTGATATTTCACTCCGGAGGATTCTGGGAACACAAGGTAAACTCTAGATGCTGGCTGATGGCTCATCGAGTCTAGTAATGATCTTGGATTTCTGAGTGTTCCCTGGGGTCTCGGAGCAGCAAAAGTCTTCCCCTGAACCTAATCACTTTACTTTTTTTCATTCATTCAACCTTTATTTAAACAGATAAATCACATTGAGCCTCGAAGACTCATTTACAAGTGAGACCTGTTTGGACAGACAAAAACAGTGGTTAACTGGACACATGTAGGAGTTGGAGGCAAAAAAAATTCCTATCAGACTTTTTTTTCTTGCCTGAGAAAAAAAACCTCTAATATTAAAAAAACACCTCGCACAAACAAGCACATATTTACGTAGACATTCTGCATTCAGAGACGAGAGTGGTCAACAACGCTTATAGATGCTCTCGAGGTCACTGTAATCAGTCAGTGTCTTCCGGTGAGATCCATAAACATTCTCGAGGGATGTCGAGGAATGGCCAAGAATAACGTCTATGGGAATCCAAGAGTCCTGAAATGATGACACAAAGGGTATTCAGCTGGTTCATCTGGTTATCAGTTGGAAATTCCTCAGGGAGGTGGTGGTGAGCGTCAGATCACATTTTCTCCAGGCAAATTCAGATAAGATGGCCTTCAAGACCAGCCAAGGGAACCAAATTTAGATAAGCACACAGTTGTTTTGGGGACAGGCAGAACTTAATGACATCTACCTTGAGTCTGTGTTGGTGAACTCGATTCTGAAATGTCCAAAATAACATGGCCACACCGATGGAACGTGACTGAGTAAAATATCCAAGATCTGATCCATTCAGCCCAAAGCATTTGAGTCTGGGTACACGAGACATGAACCAAGCCAACAAAAAGGCAAGCAGTACGATCGGGTCCAAATTTGCTGCTGACGACTTCCTTGATTGTAGATAAAACCAGGACCAGCTGAATCCAAAATAGTAGGAACCAGTTATCGTGAATCCAATTAAATATGCATCTTTAAAATCCACAGATGGCAGCAGGGATAGACACATCATCAAGTCTTCCAGTCAATGAGATATCCTGCTGTGTGCCAACAGGGCAAATCGGCTCGCCTAAAGCCTGTCTTCTCTTTGAAGAAATGTTGCAAATTGAGTTGGGGGACCAACTGGTCAAAACAGTCCATAATTACTTTGGTTCAACAGAGTGAGGATTAATATATTTCTATTTTTCCTCAACGGAGCTTATGGAGTTATAAATTTTTGTTTTTGCTCATCAGAGCTTTACGGATTTATAATTATTTGGTTCAGCTCATTGGAGCAAAGGAATTACAACACGATTGGACTGTTTTACTCTTTGGACATCAACCAAGAATCAACAGTAACACCTTTCAAGTAACAAGTGGACTTTTGACTACTGACTTTGCTATGCAACCAAATAATCACTATAAATTTCTGCTATAAAGTTGTCCCCCTGTAAATCATTAATTAAAGCAAAGCATAAAACGTAAAAATCTGGACTATCATTTCACCACCTCGTGTTCATGGATTTAAGAAGCTTGATTCAATTCTAACAAAATAAGGAGGTTTTAAACGGTTTTCTCAGCTGTGAATATTAAGAGAACATCCTAGAATCCTATTCCTGGATTCTAAAAAGAGCCAGATCAGTAAGAATAGCCGTTCTACAACGAGGTGAACGACCATCAATGTGAGTTTTCCTGTGGATGACGATCCAACTTTAACTGCTAGGTTGGGTGAGTCACGGGGTGAGATAAGGGTGTGGCTCACAGATGGAGGTCGTTAACAAATCTGGGTGAGTCACCTTCAACACAGCCTAAGCAGAACTAACCTAAAATTACTCTGGGTAATACTCAAGTGTTAGGCTTAGTTCGTTATACCCCTTAGAGGAGAGGCTGCAGTGGGGTTTGGCCATAACTCAGGTGATAACTCCACTGGGTAGATTGAAAGATGGATGAAGAGGATAATCCATTAAGTGGAGGACAAGCAGAACCACAAAGTCAGACAACTGACCCAGGTGAAGGAGACCTTAGACCAGGAATTAATGTTCCAGTGAGAGTGGTGCTTTCTGGTGAGCGCTTTTTAACCTGGGACCCGTCAGTGCAGGAATGTTTTCTGGCAAGCAATATGGAGGTGTCAGAAGAAGCCTTACAGCAAGCCCTAAGTGGGTCTATGCAAAAAGATGAACTCCACAACTGCACTAAAATGGCCAAAGCCCACAGGACGATGGTTATACGAGACCCAACCAACATAAAAAAGAAAAAAGGTATCAAGAAATGGTTGAGGTGGTGGGTGATTGTATTTGAAGGATGGTAGGAGAGGACAATATCTATAATTGTCAGCCCATCACTCAGCTACAATCCTTTAGTAAAAATGAAACATTATTAGGTTTCTTGGGCTTCTGGTGACATGAAGAGGCTCCTGCTGACGGCTTGTATAGGTCCAGTAATGATCTGGGGTGTCAGAGTGGTAGAAATACTCCTTTGGACTGAAGTAGTTCTCTCTCCTCTGCTAGGGGTTAAGAGTGAAAAGGACCTGGATCACTAGCCACCCTAAAGAAGAAAACACACCAATAGCCATAAGGCCAATTTTTTATTTTTATTTATTTATTTATATCTATACTACAGACAAAGAAAGAAATAGCAGAGCTGAGGCTAAGTCTAAAGCTGGACATAGAGCACAAAAAAAAAAAAAACACACCAGAGAGGGAGCTCACTGGTAATCTTTTGGAGATTTTTGCGTTGGTGGATGGACAATAAGTTTGTCATATCTTAAATATGCAATGTCACCTCTTGTCAAGCCGCCTTCATTTCTGGAAGCAGATCTTTTTTTTTCTGGCGCACAGTTTCAGAAAAGTCTTCATTGATGTAAATCCGACAGCCCTTCAAATTCTTGGTTTTACTAAGTACAGCCAGTTTACCTTTCAGCTGTAAAAATCAGACAACAATGGGCCTAGGTTTCTCTAATGATGACTTTGGTCTCCCGGTTCTGTGGGCTTTCACTTATCAGGCTCCTGTCTTGTGGAAGCAACTTCCAGTTTCTGTCCTGAGCCTGGTTCTGCTGGAGGTTTCGTCCTGTTAGAAGGGAGTTTTCCTTTCCACTGTTGCCACTGTGCTTGCTCAGGATGGGAGACTGCAGCGAAGCCAAGATTCAACTTGTCTGCTGCTTCCTTAGATAGAGAACTTTACTAATTGGCTTTTATGTGAATGTTTCTATAAAGTGTCCTGAGACAACTTTGTTGTAATATGGCGCTATATAAATAAACTGAATTGAATTTTATTGTTCAAAATAAATAAATTATAAAATAAATAACTTGTAAAAAAAATGAATAATTAAATAGTTTCATTTATTTTGTGAACAAACATGCACCTTTTCGTCAGTTCAGAATAAAGGGACGAGACAGCCCCTGGTTTACTCCAGAGCTAGCTGACCTCCTGCACAGGAGAGATCATCTTTGGGCCACAGCGAGAAAATCTGACTCAGACACTGATTGGTTGAGTTTTCAACAGATGAGGAATAAATGTACAACTTCTGTTAAAGCAGCAAAACGCAACTATTTCTTATCTCAGACCTCCAAAAATCTAAATGACCCTAACAGATTCTGGAAAACCATCAAATCTCTCTCAGGCACCCCCCAATCATCTGACCTCCCATCACAACTTCTCATTAACTCTGTTCCTGTGTCAAATCAGCACGAGATCCTGAACTGTTTCAACAAACATTTTGTTGCTTCTAGTTCTTTATTTGACACAGTCACTAATGGAAGATCAGCCACTACACTTAATAACCAAACTTCTACAAATCAAATCCCTCCTACAAGTCAATCCTCAGTTAATCACAGCTTCTCTTTTTCTTCATTCTCAGTCAGTGAGGTCAATAAACTGTTAAAAGATCTTGATCCTAAAAAATCTGCAGGTCCAGATGAACTTCCACCTTATTTCTTAAGGCTGGCTGCTCATATCATCACAGTCCCTGTGACCCACATCTTCAATCTCTCCATAAGACAAAACTCCATCCCAGACACTTGGAAAACAGCCTTTGTTCTTCTTTGCTGAAGGGAGGTGACCCCCCCTCACTGAACAACTATGGACCAATCTCTAAACTCTGCATTTTAGCCAAGGTTCTAGAAAAACTGATAAACTCTCAAATCAAAAATTACCTGGACTCATTTAACATCTTACCTCCACATCAATCTGGTTTCAGGAAACAACACAGCACAACCACTGCTTCACTGAAGGTTCTTAATGACGTTGTTGAAGCACTGGATGCTAAGGATTATTGTGCTGCACTTTTCTTAGACCTGTCTAAAGATTCTGACACTGTGGATCAGAACATCTTGTGTCATAAACTCTCAGAAATTGGTTTCTCAGAACACACTATTGGTTGGTTCTCTAACTATCTTTCAGACCGGAGGCAATGTGTTCAACATAATGGTACTTCCTCCAGTTATTTAACAGTCAAAAATGGTGTACCACAAGGCTCAGTCTTAGGACCCACCCTCTTTACAATCTACATAGGTAATGTAAGTCAAAACATCCCTAATGCATCCATACATTTCTATGCTGATGACACAGTTGTTTATTGTCGAGCTAAAACTGTTGCTAAGGCTTTCCAGCTTTTGCAATCTACATTCAACATCATCCAGACAGATTTGTTCCGCCTCAAACTTGTCCTAAATGCCGAGAAAACCAAAAGGATGCTTTTTTCAAACAGGAAGTCGGTCCCAGCACTTCTTCCTCTGATTTCATCCTCAAATGGTGTCCCCATTGAGTTTGTTGACTCCTATAAATATTTGTGTATCTTGGTCGACTCACATCTCTCTTTTAAGCTCCATGTGGAAAATTTGGTAAAGAAACTGAAAGTTAAACTGGGTTTCTTTTTCAGAAACAAATCCTGTCTAACCCTGAATGTTAGGAAACATCTTGTATCTGTGACTTTCCTTCCCTCCATTGATATTATTTACATGAATGCTCCTACATTATTTACATGAATGCTCCTACAAGAACCCTGCAGATGTTGGATGCTGCAGATGTTGGATGCTGTCTATCATGGTGCACTAAGATTCATAACTGGCTGTGATTATCGTACCCAGCACTGCACCCAGTATTCACTGGTTAACTGGTCACCATTAACTTCACACAGATTTTCCCACTGGTACATTTTCATCTTTAAATCACTTCTTGGTCTGCTGCCTTCATACATCTCCTCCTACATGTCTCTGTGTGAGTGCAGCTACAGCGTGCGCTCTCAGGACATTATTACCTGCAGTGTTCCCTCAGTGAGGACTGAACTAGGCAAAAGGACCTTCTCCTACTCCGCTCCTGTTTCCTGGAATATCTTACAAAAAGATTTGAAGCTCTCGACCTTGACCTCTCTAAGTGGTTTCAAACATCTGCTAAGTTCCTGGAAAAAAATCAATGTAGACATGTACCTGTTTTTAGTTTTCTGCACCTCCTTATAGTCTAGCTGTTTTTTGTTACATTTCCTTAATGATTGTCCTTTTGGTTGACATTTTATTTTAACTTGTTAAAAAAAATGTACACATCATTTATAACTGTTTATTGTTGTTGCTGTTGTCCATTGTTGTCATCATTCTTTGTTGAAATCAGGTCTCTCTTGTAAATGAGTCCTCGAGGCTCAATGGGATTTACCTGTATAAATAAAGGTTGATTGAATGAAAAATATGATTATAATTAAATTAAAAGTGTCATAATGCCTGATTTGATTTATAAGTAGCTAAAATAGCACAAAGTAGGTGAAAAAGATTGATGCTCACAGAGCACCAATGCTTCCAAAATGAAAGCGTCCTCTTTTGGAAATTCTGTTTTAAAGAAATTTGTGTTATAAAATGTTGTTGTTGTGCTATTTTATCTGGTGTTTGATTTCAGTCACCTTTTCTTTGCTTTTTTTGTTATTTTGTGCAGAAAATGCTGGATGATGGTTTGGTGGCCCATGCTTCCGGGGAGGCAATGCACACTTTTGTCTACGGCTTCTACTTCTACAGAATAGTAGGAGAAAAAGATGGTGAATGACAAATAAACGTGAAAACAGCAGCTCTTTATGATGAATCATTTTTCTAATGTGATGCCTTCTACTGCAGGCCTGACCCCTCAGCTTCAGACTTTAGCTGCTGGGGGCTGGTCCACTGCAGCGCTTGAGGATTTTGCCTTGTTCCAGAGGAAGTGGTTTGAGGTGGCCTTCGTGCTGGAGGAGCAGCGGCCCTGCGACCTCCCAGCGTTCCTCCTGCCCTGGCTGCCTAGCCGGCCTGCCTCCTATGCAAGTAGGCACAGCTCCTTCAGCCGCAGCTTTGGGGGACGCAGCCAGGCTGCCGCACTGCTAGGTACACCCAGCCTGATCCTCCCAGCCCACACTGCAGAGAAGTCCTGTTTTAATCTGATGTGGATCTCACTGAAAGAACCATCCGGGTTCAGTATTTGTGTCACACAAGACCCATTCAGAGATCAGATTTTAAATTATCCTCTCTTCTAACTGGTTGTTCCTCAAACTCTGATGAACATTTATGTATCTGTTATGGCAGCTTGTCTCTAAAACCCTGAAAGGCGACAAGCTCTCAAGCTTCCATACGTATCTCCAGATATCATTAGCCTAGTATCTCACTTCGATGACACTGTTAGGGCTTCTTAACAAACCCTTAGCTGGAATTGGTTTTTAAAGCTATTTCGTGGCACAGTTTTTATAAAAGAGCCTTTGGAGAATATTTGAAATTGTATGAAAGTAGGCCATTTTTCCAACAGTGATCCATTCGGCTGAGTTTGAAGGGTCCAATTTTTGAAAATCACAGCCTCAAATTGATGTTCTTCTACTGGAGAAATAAAAATAGGCAGTTGGGACCAGAATAGTTTGAAACAAAAACTTTTATCAGCTGCATAGTTACGCCTGAACATTAAGGGCTGTAATCATGGTTGCTTTCATCAGAGCTTTTAATAAAGCTCCAACACTTTAGACACGTTCTCAACATTAATTTTTGTAGAAAATTTGGCTCACAATTTTTTGAACACGTTTAAGATTCCTGTGATAAGACTATGAGCTACTGCGACTTTAAATTCCAAACTAAGTTCAAGTTCAAGTAGGTTTAGTGTCATTTCCCCACATGTGGTACATGAGGTGGAACTAAGTTATGTACACAGGGTCCCAGTTACATCCAACAATATCAAAATATAAATTGTATAAAGAAACGGTAAAAAAAAGGATCTAAGATATGCAAGTACACTAAAGTCCCCAGTATACTCTCTCATACATACGTACGCGGAGGTTTGTGCGTACCCCAGCAGGGCATGTCCGCGCAAAGCTCAATTTTTACGACCGCGTACGCGGTGTCGCACAATAAACTGCCCCTGCGACGGACTGTTTTGTATGTGACACCAATGTATTAAATTCCTCTTCTTCATCTCTGATCTGACCTTTTCTTTTGTTTTTGTTTTTTGCCAAGAGGCAGTGATCTCTTCCTCCTCCGTTGATGCCATGACTGAAATGATGAGAAATGAAGGAATTTGTCACGAGCAAATTAAACTCAGGTCCAGCATGGCTGTGGGAGGGTCTGGAGATTTCCTGTTGGGCTGGTCTGATGTGTGGGCTGCAGAGCCAGCGCTCCTTGTTTTTTTAGATCTTTTTTTTTTAACAACATATAAACACAGAACACCACTGCGGCTGAGGATGCCAGCGCTTGTTTTTTTGACCTGTCAATCAATTCAGTAGGTGTGTCAGCAAATGACCAATCAGCAAACTCAATTTGTCCCGAAGGCAAACGCCCCTTGTCTGTGAAGCTGCTCAGGGTGTATGCTCGAGTATGAGTCTGAACCCTCCGCGTACGTACGCGCGTACCTCCGTGCAGACGGACATACGTGGGAGTATACTGGGGGCTTTAGATATATGCTAAACGAACGCTAAATATGCTAAAAGATCTAAGATATAAGCTAAACACTAATAATGCAAAACAATATGTTGTAACAACAGCAGCCCGAACATGAGTTTGTGTGAGCAGATGGATATGAATGAATACAGCAGCATAAAATAATCAGTAGCATGAGATCAGCAGTATGGATAATCAGCAGCACGTATCACAATGAAAGTAGCATTACAGTGATTTCTTTTTTTCACAGTGATTATTCTGGTTAGAGATTCATGAGTCTAACAGCCTCAGGGTAGAAGCTGTTCCTCAGTCTAGTGGTTCTACACTTAATGCTCCTCAACCTCCTTCCTGAGGGGAGTGGGACAAAAAGTGTATGTGCTGGGTGAGTGGAGTCGTTCATGATGCAGGTGGCCCTCTTCCTGCCTCTAGAGGTGTAGATGTCTGTGATGGTGGGGAGGCTGACTCCAACATCTTCTGTGCAGCCTTCACCACTCTCTGCAAAGCTTTTCTTTCTGCAGCTGTGCAGCCTCCATGCCACACATTGATGCTCGAGCACAGGATGCTCTCCACTGCACACCTGTAGAAGGAGGTGAGGACTGAGCTTCCCAGACCAGCTCGCCTCAGCCGTCTGAGGAAGTAGAGTCTCTGATCGTTCAAAAAAAGTTCAATCTGGTGTAATGAACATATATCTGTTGATATTATTCATAAATTAAACGGATTCTTTCATTTTTCTGGACTGAGTAATATCGTGTATTGAATAATTAAATGTGACGTGAGACGTTAATTTTCTTTGACCCATCAACATGAATGCGGTCATTTATTAACAGAATCAAAGTTTAACATCAAACATTTACATTAATTTGGCAAAATTGATTACAATAACACCTAGCTTAATTAGCAAGCTTTACAATTAGACAACCATACGGCCATGGTTTCACTTGCAGCTTTTAAACCAACAGACATTTCTGAAAATATCTAGATGATTACTGGCAGATAGAAGAGTTTTAAAGATGGGAAAATGAAGTTTAAATGGAGAGAATGGATGAGGGAAAAGTGGATGAAGATGTAGGTCTGTAGACCAGAACGACAACACGCTCCTTTGGACGCAGCTTAACCCATGGTACACTTTGGTTGAGATCGACTCTTTTACCTTTGCAGATGATAGTTTCGGCGTCGGTGTAGAGTTTCCTTTCAACTCTTTTCAGCGTCTCCGTAAGAACAGCTAAACCTCAGGAGTCGTGGGATCATCCCAGAACAGACTTCTTCATAGTTCCTCTGAACTTCTCTCGTTCAGGAACTTCTCGTTCGAGGTCCTCCCTGGAACGTTGTTCAGCTTAGTTCCCGTTGTTCTGCTGGAACTGCATTCTGCATTCTCCATTCTGCATTCTGCGTGGAACTAGGAAGTGTTGAACCTTTTAAAGAGGTCACTTCCGGTTCCTCTGAGAACTTCCTGATTGGTCGAAACGAACCAACAGGGGGTGGTTTTAGTGATGTAAGAGGTTATTAAAAGTCAAGGAGAAAGATTAGGTTGTTTAAGAACAGACAGAAAGATGTTTTGAAGAAATTAGACTTTTTGGAGTCAGTCTCCTCCTATCTGTCTGAAAAAGTTAAACATGACATTTCTTTCCAGTAAACATGTAGTTGACCGAAACTTGACTTTTGACCGACTTACAACTTGCTCATTTCAGACAGAAAATCAAAATGCATAATTACTCTTGTAACAAACATTAACTTGATTTCTACTTTGAATGAGGATTAAAAATCATTTATACTGTTTCACAGTTGATTTAAAATGAGTAGTTCACTTCAACATTTAAAATGGTTTGAACTAAACACACTTTTGATTATCAAGACATTTGTAAAATAGTAATGATAATAAAAAAGAGAGTGTTCTTTCAATTAATCAGTGCAGGACACTTAGAAAGTCTCTGGATGAGCTTAATTTTGTGTTTCTGGACTCAAATCAATGAAGTAACAGTTCTTGTCCCAGGAAGGCCCTCAGGGCCAGATTTGATCTGAGGCTTAGTTCACTACACTGGTCCTCTGGACATTCACAAAAAACAAATCAACAAAAAAATGTAGAAACGTTTCGTCTCTCATCCGAAAGACTTCCTCAGTCTGAGGTGCTGTATTCAGGTCAGTCTTATAAATAGCACCTTCTCCGAGTGGATCAACCAGTTTTGCTGCTGACAACCAACACCAGCTGCTCACATGATCAAGAAGGACCATCAGCCTAACAATGGATCATTAGCACCTGATGGCTGTTTACTATTCACAGAGGGCTGAGTGATACTAGCAATCACAGCATTGTAAGAGGGGGACAGTTGAACCCGGAGGCCTCCACCCCTCCACGATTTCTTTTTACAAAGATGGCCTCCTTTACTCCTCTCTCAAACCATCGTTTCTCTCTATCCAGGATGTGAACATCTTCATCCTTGAAAGAGTGACCGCTGGCCTGGAGATGAGTGTAGACCGCAGAGTCCTGGCCTGATGATGTTGATCTTCTGTGCTGGTCCATCCTTTTGGCCAGTGGTTGTTTAGTTTCCCCGATGTAAGAACCAAGATATTACCAAGATACACAACATTACTCTGTTTGTGCCGGGGGACTGGATCTTTGGGATGAACCAGTATTTGCCGTAATGTATTTTGGGGATTAAAAGCCACTGGGACGTTATATTTAGAAAATAAACATCTCAGTTTCTCTGATACTCCCTCAACATATGGAATGACCACTGGTCTGGGTCTGGGTTCCTCCTTTTCACCTGTTGGCTGACTGGAGTCCTGTTTGGGTTTCTTCTCTGCTTTCAGGAAGGCCCAGTTAGGATATCCACATTGCTCTAGAGCCTGTCTTGTGTGGGATTTCTCCTTCTGCCTGGCTCCTGAGCTAGTGGGGATGCTGTCTGCGCTGTGATACAGAGTCCTGATGACTCCTAGCTTGTGCTCCAGTGACTCCTAACTTGTGCTCCAAAGGGTGATGGGAGTCAAACTGCAAATACTGGTCTGTGTGGGTGGGTTTGCGGTACACCTCAGTTTGCAAATGTCCTCCATCAGAGACTGAGACCTCACAGTCCAAGAAAGCCAACCTGCCATTTTTTACATCTTCTCACTTGAACTTGATGTATTTATCCACAGAGTTGATGTGGTCAGTAAAATGTTGGACTTCCTGAGATTTAATTTTAACCCAGGTGTCGTCAACATACCTGAACCAATGACTCGGTGGTGTCCCTGAAAAGGACGTCAAGGTTCTCTTTTCTACCTCCTCCATGTACAGGTTGGCAACAATAGGAGAAACCCTTACAATGCTGTGATTGCTAGTATCACTCAGCCCTCTGTGAATAGTAAACAGCCATCAGTGTGCTAATGGTCCATTGTTAGGCTGATGGTCCTTGTTGACCATGTGAGCAGCTGGTTCTGGTTGTCAGCAGCAAACTGGTTGATCCACTCTGAGAAGGTGCTATTTAAGAGACTGA